GAGCGTGGGGCGGGTAGGAGAATGAAGTCTCGGGAGACAGCAGCTGGGAGGGAATTGGGCTCCTCCCCAGGCAGGAGGTGTTCCCCGGGCTGGGCACCCCGTTCTGTCCAGTCTCTGGCTATAGGTGAGGCTGCAAGAAGAGTCATCACATAAAGGACCCTTGTTGGTGGCTCACACCAGCTGGGGGTTGGGGGGAGGGAGATGAAGGACCAGCAGTAGGATTAGGGCTCCAACCAGGTCACCAACCTCATCCCCAAGGCCTGGTGATCCCTGTGGGCCCAGCAGCCTTCCCCACGTGGAGCTGCAGGTGTGGGAGCAGAGGCCTGAGACCACTCTAGGGGCGGGAGAGCTACCAGGACTAGCCCACTGTCCAGGTGGGGCGGGTGCTGCAGGGCCCCAGCGAGGAGGCAGGCATGGTGGGGGGGAGGGGATGCAGGACGATGAGGGGCCGGGCAGGGCGGGAGCCTACAGGCTTCCTCTGAGCCTCCTTCTCTGGCTTGAATTACAAGCTTTCACCACGGCCCCACCAGGGCCCAGAAGGAAAGGGCCTGGGTCACCAGCCCAGAAAGCAGGGCTGCCCTTCAGCAGACAGAGCCCCCGTCATGTGCCCTAAGATCGTCCGCTTCTCATCAGACACGTTTGTCCTGGGACTGCTCGGCACAAGTGCTCCTGACGGGCAGGGCTGGGCTGTACCTTGCAGACCGAGGTCCCGACAGAAGAACCTCCATGCACCCAGGAATTAACTTTCCTCGATGCATCTTTGGTGAAAGCGCTGGTTTTCAAATGCCAGGCTCTCCGAAGGCCAAAGGCCCCTCTAAACGCCACGGGTTTACCCGTCGTTCCTCTAGCAGCACCATGCGCTCGCTCTCCAGACTCCGCTGCTAAACGATGACAACTTTGCTCGTGATCTGCCAACCCCCACAGCCAGGACTCCAGATGCTCGTAGAGCAGAAGTCAAATCAGACTGTGTTCACTGGAGGAGCAAACTGTTTTGCAGCAACACATATGTGTTCACAGATGAAGTCAGAAAAGGCAGCTGTCGCCTCTGAGCAGACACCACAGAGTCTCGGAGCAGAAGCGCCGTCGGCCTGGCGACGCCTCCTCAGACACGACGTCGTTCCGGCCGGGGATCTAGGCTTTGTCTCGCAGCCAGGCCGCTGATGAACCGAGTGTGGCCTTGCCGGCTCACCTGGCAGCGGCTGCTGGACGGGCTGAGAGGGAATCCCAAGGGCAGCGCAGGCTCCAACACGACCCTGCAGACGGCTGGGCAGGTGACCAGGCTGCAGCCACCCACAGAGCACCCTGTGGGCCCGGCCACCCTGCCGTGGGCACCCGGCTGGCCGGCTTGTGAGGGGAAGGCCTCCTCTCCCCAGGGCACTTCTGTGCCTAAAGCCGGACCCACACCCAGGACACCGACAGAAGCATTTCAAACTCCCCACCAGTCACAGGAGTCTTCCTTGTAAAGGATGAAAAATAGGGTCCCCTTTAAGAAAAGGAGATGCACGATCCAGAAACGGAGAAAACGCAGGGAACGGACTTCAAGACTGGCTGTTTTCAAGTCTCCAGCTGACGAATCAGGCAAAAGTCAGGTATAACTCAATACACTGAGAACTGCCAATCCTTGTTCAAACAGGATCTGTTTCTACATTTTTATAAGCAGGTCATGGAAACAAGTCTGAATGTTTACAGAGAATACAAAGGCTGCCGGTCTGCCTTCGTTTTAAGGTTCTCACCAGACTCGTCAAATTCCGGAAAACGAAGGTGTGAGGTCGTCTCGGCGCCCAGGGCTTTATGAGCAGAATTTAAAACCTGGCTGGGGACTCACTCCTTAATCTCCCGGTGCCCCGTCCATCGTGCCACTTCCCACCTGGAGATGCACTTCATTCCCTCTGGGAACAAGTTCAAAGGCTCCCGAAGGCACCTGCCCAGGCTCCTAGAGGCCTTGGGTTGCAGGAGAGAAAGGGGGGCCGTGACTCTAACTCCTGCTCAGCCCCATACCTTGGGCGGAGCCTTGCCCTGCAGCTGAGGGAGCCAGCTGAGCAAGTGTGCAAAGAGAGAAACCAAAAGCAGTTGTACTAGTTGGCGGG